GGTTGTGACAGACCCATCCGTATGAACTAAGATTGCTAGGTTCTTCTGTTTGCTTGTTTCACGAACTCCCCCATTCGTATGCCTGGATTTAAGTGAATTGATTTTTTTACCGAACAAAACTGTCGAACGGATGGCCACCCAGAAGAGAAGTGTGCTGCTGGTTAACCTATTGATCCCAATTAGAACGTTGCAGTTAACCACAGACACTTCTCGATTAAAACCGAATACAGGGTGGTCGTCGTTCGTATGTCAACCACCAGGCGGTGGCCATTTTAAACCATGCGAAAGACCAGCGGTGTTCGGTACTAAATTCATGGAACTGAAAACGGACACTTTTTCAACAGAACACCGCTGATGCCGTCGACCTCCCTTCTCCAATCGACAGAAGTGTGCGAACACCGGCCGTTCGGGAGATTTAAAGGCACGAATGGACTTACCCCAGATAACCTTCCCATGGAGTCAATCGTATACCGAAGAACTGTAATAGACTTTGACTCCATGGCGATTGAACTATGCATATGGAATCTGAGCGCTATTCGCCAATAATATGCACTCAGATCCAGGCTATCTGGGGATGTGTTACACAAATGAGAAACGTTCGGCAGTTATAAAGTTATATATTTTTATGTGTTTTATGATTTGTATTTAAAATGGCGATTTGCCTCTGCTCTGGGAGATAATTGAATTACTTCTCAATTATCTCCCGGGCAGAAGGGAGAAAACTGTGATGTATTCTGGGAATATTGTGTGACTGTATGTCCTGAAATGCCATATGTCCATCTGCTATTCCAGTCTCCCATTTGGTCCCCTAGGGGAGTGTCCACCAAGTGGGAGACCTGCATAAATACGGGCGGGTACCCCACAGTAAACTCAGTTCGTGTTTTACCCTCAATGCGGAGCTTGGTCTCGTTATTGGGGAGATTTTATTACCGGCGACTAGAGACTGCTATTTGGAATTATCAGCCGCTTGGTAGATACTGGCGTTCGGCTGATATTGGCGGTTCGTGAGCTTGAGGCTCGTGGAGGGAAGTGACCGTACGGATACCGTTCAGGAGTTTGGAGTGTTCCCTTGCTGGCGGTTCGCATGGTTGTATTGGATACGCTTACAGCCAACATTATTGCGAACCGGGAGCATTCACTAAACGGCGGTTTGTACATTTTATGCTGAAGGTACCGTAACAACTGGTGGCAAACGACGGGATGACCCTCAGCGCCCAGAGAGACCACTACAACCAGGATTAAATGGATGTACAATATCAAAGACTGAAAAGAGCTACCCTAAAGGATTTATTAGAACAAAGAGGCGGACAAGCCAGTAACCTCAGGAAGAGGGAAATTATTGCGCTATTGTTGGAAATGGATGGAGTACCAGAGGCAGAGGAAACCAATGGACCCAGCACAGCTGATAGAACCCCGGAGGAGGCAAGCTTTGACCGGGCGGTAAGAATCAGGCTGGCCCATTATGGTCCCAACCCGACTATAGAGACCATTGACCGGGTCATGGCCGCTGTGGAGGCCAACCTGCTACGCCAAAGCAGTGCTGCAGCAGCCCCAGTCACAGCAAACCCGGGTGAAAGAAAGAAAGTGCTGTTTACTGCATTTAAACCTTTTGTGAAGGCAGAAGGAGAAATTGATGGGTACCTTGCTGATTTTAAGCAGCAATGTGCCCTGCACAAGGTACCCCTGGAAGACCGGGTCACTATATTGTCCGTCAAATTATCTGGCCAGGCCAGCGATGCTTTTCGGGCCATTCCTGATGAGGAGATCGGGGATTATGGGGCCGTCACGGAAGCTTTACTCTCCAGGTATGCCGTTACACCGGAGGCATACAGGAGGCGATTCAGAGACACGGTAAAATCAGCTGGGGACTCTTATGTTGAGTGGGCATGTAAAGTACACCGCACAGCTGCCCACTGGATGGCGGGGTGCCAGGCTGTGTCCGGGGAAGAGGTGCTGCAAATGTTCCTGTTGGTGCATTGTTTTGACAAATTATCCCCAGGGGTCAGAGAGTGGGTAAGAGATTGTAAGCCCTCCACTCTGCATGAAGCCGCTCGCCTGGCGGACGAATACACAGATGCCCGTAAACTGGACAGTGCTATTGGAAAGGCTCCTGCCAGAGTGGATTACCGGCCAGCAGCACCACCAGCAGCTAACGTCTACCAGCCCCCGATGAACCGGCCGTCAGTACCCCCTCAGTCTGCTCATTATCAACAGCCACCCGGGTTCAACTCACGGGACTATTCGCAACCCATTAGGTGCTTTTTATGCAAGCAGCTAGGGCACAAGCGACCGGAGTGCCCAATGAACAGTGCCAACCAGACCCAGTCCTGGAGGAAACCAGCTGGCGGCAATCCACGTCCACCCCTCTCAGCTGCTCACTGTGTAGAGGAAGAGGAATGCTGAGGCATCCTGCATGAGGCAGACCCTGTGCATGCTGCCCACCAGGATAACAGACAGCACCACCGGCAATGTGTCAAGGTCAATGGGAAGGAGGTCAGTGGTCTACGGGATACCGGTGCAACCATGACATTGCTTCAGAAGCACCTGGTGTCCGAGGCCCAACATACTGGAGACACGGTAGCAGTGTGAGTAGCCGGAGGGGCTGTGTTTCGCCTACCCGTTGGCCGGGTACATTTGGACTGGGGAGTGGGCGCTAGACACGTGAATGTGGGGTTCATGAAGGACTTATCAGCAGATGTCCTCCTTGGCAACGACATGGCACCCCTTGTTTCAGCTTTCGCTCCCATGGGTCCTGCTGAAGTGGACGCTGTCACGACCCGTGCCCAGACCCGTGCCGCTGAGACCAGCCCACCTGCTGCAGAGACCCAGGTAAGACTCTCTACCCCGACTTGTTCCTTAGACCAGGCCCCTTTAGGCTGGGATACCCCCGAGATGTACGGGAAGAAAACTAGGAAAGACCTGACTTTAGCGAAGTACAGAGCCAGGGCCGATTCTGGGGTAGAAGGGGTAGATGGGGAGCATTACGAGTGGGTGGGGGATAGGCTGTACAGGATCCCTAAACCGTCCCAGAAACCGAGTACCCCTCCGCAGAATTGACAGCTAGTGGTGCCTGCAAAATACCGGCAAGAGATTCTGCGGATTGGGCATGATGTGCCATTAGCGGGCCATCTAGGCTCCCACCGCACAGCTCATAGAATCACCCAAAACTTTTTCTGGCCTAATTTTAACCGAGATGTGCGGGTTTATTGTAGCACGTGTGACACATGTCAACGGGTGGGTAAACGGGGGGATCCCCCAAAGGCTAGGCTTCAATCGATGCCTATCATTGGAGAACCCTTTTCCCGCATAGCCGTTGACATTGTGGGTCCACTGGCCAGGGCTAGTCCATCCGGTAAGAAATATATTCTCACCTTGGTGGACTATGCTACATGTTATCCAGAGGCAGTAGCGCTGTATAATATAGAGGCAGAGACGGTTGCTGATGCCCTGGTTAAAATTTCCACTAGGGTCGGGTTCCCTCAGGAGACCCTCTCCGACCAGGGAACTCAGTTCACCGCTATGCTTACCCAGCAGCTGTGGAAGGTGTGCGGCATTAAACCGCTGCTTAGCTTACCTTATCATCCACAGACTAACGGTCTCTGCGAGCGATTTAATGGTACCCTCAAACAGATGTTGAGGACCTTTACTGACACTTGCAGAGACTGGGAGTGATTCCTGCCTCATCATGTATTTGCATACAGAGAGGTGCCCCAGGAATCTACTGGGTTCTCCCCCTTTGAGTTACTCTATGGGAGAAGGGTCCGTGGACCCCTGGATCTCATTAGAGGACACTGGGAGGGGGAGACCGAGCAAGAGGGGACCCCCATAGTACCATATGTCCTGGAACTCCTGGACCGCATGGAGAAACTGTCCCTGATGGTAAGGGAGAATCTCCAGGGGGCCCAGGGGAGACAGAAGAGGTGGTACAATCGGGGTGCCCGACAGCGGGTCTTCCAGGTTGGGCAGAAGGTTCTAGTGCTCAAGCCTGTGAAGACGGACAAGATGCAAGCATCTTGGCAGGGCTCGTATAAAGTGTTAGCTCAGGTATGTGATACTACCTATCTTATAGCCAGCTGTGCAGATGAAAGGATTCAGCGATTCATGCTGAAGGAGTATCAGGAGAGACCAGAGGATGTTGCGGCAGTATGTGCCCCGGCTGCTGACGACCCCGAGAATTTACCCTTACCCGACTTGTTAGAAAAGGATTCCCAGACTGACCTTACTAGTCTTGTGCTGCTAGGGGACTGGTTAAGCCCCGCAGAGAAGGAACAGGCAAGACAGCTTCTGTGGGAGAAGCAGGCGACGTTCTCCCAAGAACCCGGGTACACTACCCTAGCTGTGCACAAGGTCGAGACACCCGGATTACGACAACCCTCATACTGTATCCCTGAAGCAGTCCGAGAAGGAATGCGGAAGGAGATACAGGAGATGACCAGGCTTGGTGTCATCGAGCACTCATACAGCCCTTGGGCCTCCCCTGTAGTCCTGGTGCCTAAGAAGGATGGGACCACCCGGTTCTGTGAAGACTACAGGCGACTCAACGAGCGGTCCACCACTGACGCCTACCCGATGCCCCGGGTAGACAAACTATTAGACCGCATTGCCAGGGGGCGCTACCTGACTACCATCGACCTGTGTAAAGGTTATTGGCAGATTCCCCTGGCCGAGGATGCTATCCCTAAGTCGGCATTCGTCACCCCATTTGGCCTGTACCAATTTAAGGTCATGCCATTTGGGATGAAGAATGCCCCGGCTACCTTCCAGCGTATGGTGGATAGGCTCCTCGATGGCTTCCAGGAATTTGCATGTGCATACCTGGATGACTTTGCAGTCTACAGTGAGTCCTGGGAAGAACACTTAGTACACGTGGGGGTGGTTCTGGACAAGATTTGGGCCACGGGCCTGACCTTGAAACCAGACAAGTGCCATCTAGGCATGGCAGAAGTGCAGTACTTGGGTCACAGGGTAGGATGTGGGAGCCAGAGACCAGAGCCAGCCAAGGTAGAAGCTGTAGCTAACTGGAATTCTCCCTCATCATGGACCACAATCCCCTTGTCTGGCTTAACCAGGTCTCAGGAGACAATGGCAGACTGCTGAGGTGGAGTTTGGCACTGCAGCCTTACAACTTCAACATCAGCTACCGACCTGGTAAGCAGAATGGGAATGCGGATGGGTTGTCCCGGTAAAACGGACGTCTCTACTTCGTCCTAGTCCAGTCATCCCCAAGTTGACCCGCCAAAGGGTCAAGCCTGGTCTGCCGGAGTGTTCCACAAGGGGGGAGCCGTGTGGCAGACCCATCCGTATGAACTAAGATTGCTGGGTACGTCTGTTTGCTTGTTTCACGAACTCCCCCATTCGTATGCCTGGATTTAAGTGAATTTACTTTTTTACCGAACAAAACTGTCGAACGGACCGCCACCCAGAAGAGAAGTGTGCTGCTGGTTAACCTATTGATCCCAATTAGAACATTGCGGTTAACCACAGACACTTCTCAATTAAAACCGAATACAGGGTGGTCGTCGTTCGTATGTCGACCACGAGGCGGCGGCCATTTTAAACCATGCGAAAGACCAGCGGTGTCTGGTAGTAAATTCATGGAACTGAAAACGGACACTTTTTCAACCGAACACCGCTGATGCCGTCGACCTCCCTTCTCCAATCGACAGAAGTGTGCGATCACCAGCCGTTCGGGAGATTTAAAGGCACGAATGGACTTACCCCAGATAGCCTTCCCATGGAGTCAATCGTATACCGAAGAACTGTAATAGACTTTGACTCCATGGCGATTGAACTATGCGTATGGGATCTGAGCGCTATTCACCAAGAATATGCACTCAGATCCAGGCTATCTGGGGATGTGTTACACAAATGAGAAACGTTCGGCAGTTATAAAGTTATATATTTTTATGTGTTTTATGATTTGTATTTAAAATGGCGATTTGCCTCTGCTCTGGGAGATAATTTAATTACTTCTCAATTATCTCCCGGGCAGAGGGGAGGAAACTGTGATGTATGCTGGGAATATTGTGTGACTGTATGTCCTGAAATGCCATATGTCCATCTGCTATTCCAGTCTCCCATTTGGTCCCCTAGGGGAGTGTCCACCAAGTGGGAGACCTGCATAAATACGGGCGGGTACCCCACAGTAAACTCAGTTCGTGTTTTACCCTCAATGCGGAGCTTGGTCTCGTTATTGGGGAGATTTTATTACCGGCGACTAGAGACTGCTATTTGGAATTATCAGCCGCTTGGTAGATACCGGCGTTCGGCTGATATTGGCGGTTCGTGAGCTTGAGGCTCGTGGAGGGAAGTGACCGTACGGATACCGTTCAGGAGTTTGGAGTGTTCCTTTGCTGGCGGTTCGCATGGTTGTATTGGATACGCTTACAGCCAACATTATTGTGAACAGGGAGCATTCACTAAACGGCGGTTTGTACATTTTATGCTGAAGGTACTGTAACACAGGTCCTTAGTTATTTTATTCACAATAGGTCCCCCCCACTGTTTTTATGGCCCCCACTCGCTGCCCAGGGCAATAGGTCCCCCCTCATTGTTTTTTATGGTCCCCACCCGCCTCTCAGGGGTGGGGGTTAGGGGAGGACATTCTCCTTTAGGGCCCCCACCCGCCGCTCAGGGGTGGGAGCTGGGGGAACGGACAATAGGTCCCACTCATTGTTTTTATGGCCCCCACACGCCGCTCGGGGGGGGGGGGGCGGGGGCGTTGAAAATAGGTCCACCCCTCATTATTTTTATGGCCCCCACCCACCGCTCAGGGGTGGGGGCTGTGGGGAGGACAATAGGTCCACCCCTGAGGAGGGACAAAGCAGCTAGTTCCAACTGGTTTGGCAGTTTCCCTGGGACAACGCCCTGCTGGAGAACAATGGGACAAAATGGGGGAGGGGAAGAGGCATATTTTCTCATGGAATTAAAGGTGTATAAACAGTGTGTTACAATCCAATGTGCCATAGTCACAGGGCAGGAGGCTGGCAAGCAGGCCTCTCCAGGACCAAGTGGCAAAGGGCACTTGGTCACAGAAATCAACACAGTAAAGGAGGAGACACAGGTTAACACAGTAAAGGAGTTTAAGCATGCGTGGGATATGCAAAAGGCTATCCTAACTATAAGATAAGGCCAGGGGCTAATGTAAGTATTTTAAAAATTGGGCAGACTAGATGGGCCGAATGGTTCTTATCTGCCGTCACATTCTATGTTTCCAATCTACTTTGCATCTATCACAAAGGAACTGCTACTATTATATAACCATTCGTCAGAAAGATAAATGAATGAATAGAAATGTCAGACAAACAAACAAACACTGAATATTATTACAAGGAGGGAGCTACCGGCTTGCAGCTCCCTCCTTGTTAAAAGTAAAAATAGAAGCAGCAGGGAGCATTGCTCCCCACCACTATCTAGGCCCCCCATGTCCTCCCTCATTCTATGGGTGTCAATATGACCCCCATAATAGCATAACGAAGATTAAAATCTCCTGAATGCCCCTATCTGCTATGCCGCGAGTAGGGGCATGTCTACTAAGCAGTGAGCAGCCTGTGGCCTATTGTCCTCCTCCCTGCCCCCTGAGTGGCGGATGGGGGCCATAAAAACAATGAGGGCGACACACCTTTTTTCCACCCCCCCTCCGGTTCCCACCCACCCCAATTCTACTCAGAGCAGATTGGTTGGCTTGGAGTTCAACCAATCAGAGTGCTAGTCATTTTACACAGCGTAGGAAAGTTCTTTGAAATTTTCCCACGCTGTGTAAAATGACAAAGAGCACTCTGATTGGTTGGACTCCAAGCTCTGAGTCAAATTGCAAGTTCGACGGATATTATGGTTTTTGTTTGGCCTTTTTGGGGGCTGAAAAATGAAGATTTTAGAAAAAAGAAGACATCAAATGGTAAGTTTTTTTTTTTTACAGGTCCTTAGTTATTTTATTCACCCCTCACTATTTTTAGGGTGAGGGGGGTAAGTAGGGGACTATTCATTTTTGTTTTGGGTGGGGGGAGTGACTAGGGGCTTGGGGACCCCTAGTCACCTTGGGGGGGTACATTTCTATTTAGGAGATTTAGGGAGGTCCCCCCCTCATTGTTTTCATGGCCCCCATCTGTGGAGGCCGGGGGTAGGACAATAGGTCCCCCCCCACATTCTCCTTTATGGCTCCCACTCGCCGCTCAGGGGTGGGGGCCGGATGGGGGGACATTAGGTCCCCCCCATTGTTTTTATGGCCCCCACCCACCACTCAGGGGTGAGGGCTTGGGGGGGGACAATGGGTCCCCCCTTTGTTTTTATGGCCCCCACTCACCACTCAGGGGTGGGGGCTGGGGGAGGAGGACAATAGGTCCCCCACCCACATTCTCATTTAAGGCCCCCACCCAACCCTCAGGGTTGGGGGCTGGGGGAGGAGGATAGGGCTCATGGGTGGGTCTCTTTTAGGGCCCCCACCCGCCGCTCAGGGGTGGGGGCCGTGTGGTCAGGACAGTAGGTCCCTCTAGCGGAGCTCCCTGTACCCCGGGTGGGTGCAAAGGACTGCTTCCTAGCTGGAACAGGGGACAAACTGCAGAACCTCTGCCCACAGTCGCCGTGGCTGGACTGGGGCCCTGGAACTGCTCCTTCCTGGAGCCAAATTGGGAATTAGCTCTAGTCCGTACAAGGACTTTCCCCGTTGAATCTCCTGGAAGCTGGAACAGCAGACACAGGAGCAAGTCTTCTTTCCCTCCAATAACAGGACGACACACAGTTTTGGAGTATAAGCAGGAATAGAATGTTTAAGGGCACACACTGGGCTGTAACCTTGTGGGGCACAGGACATGAAATTCACAATCCGCTAAAAACAGAGTTTTTACACTTGAACACCCCCACTTATTGTACACAAACCCTCTCCTCTGGCTGTGATACAATGCAATGCTGCTGCCCATCCCATGTGTTCCCTATTAAGGGTTAATAAGCATGTAGGGATGTATATAAAAGATACCCCTTTCTGTCTCATTAGAGATATTTTTGCCAGAAGCTCAAGGAAGCAAGGCAAATGGTTAGAGTAGGACCCACCTAAGAGGTCTGCCTTGACGTGGCAGGTGGGCATACCCTATCATGGCCATTGGAGGTAACTAAAAACCTCCATTCATATTATTTCTGTCTAGTTGTTTTCTCATATCCTGTTCTGGGGCATATTGCCTAAATCCTGTTTTCCTATTTCCCCTTTATATAGAACCTATAATCTCTCTTATAGGTTTATTAACTATTATATTTCCTATAACTACAATTATAGGATATCCTCTATTTACTAGTATGTCTAAGATATCAAATAAAGACCCTGCAATTAACCCAAGTTTAAGTCTCATCCCTGACCTGCACAAGATCATTACAGAATCCACAAAGTAAATTAAAGTCCAGTGTTGTTTTAAGCAAGTTGGATGTTCTGCAGGAAGATAGGGAGTTCAAGTAGGTTTGCCGCAGGGTTGTAGATAAGGCAGGAAGAAGAGTTGTACAGGTAAGTTTGGAGCAGGTTGGTGAGTATTGCAGGATAAGTATCCAATAAGAAAAATCCACAGGTTAACTCAGGAGCCAGGATATGAAGTCTTTTCAGGCAATCATCAAACTTAAGTGTCAAGGCCACTTGCTTTGTCGGGTGTGGCCTTTTATAGTAGAACTTGATTTCATGTTATTCAGGTGAGTGTTGGAGGTGACTAGTGGCTAGGAAGGCCACTAGAGGCGAGAAACAGGAACTGTATTTGAAGAAACAGTATCAAACGGAAAATGTCTTGCTAGTCAGGATAGGAACCTGACACAGGCACACATACATACAGACAGAAAGGCACACATACATACAGACACAAACACATAGGCATACACATACACACACACACACACACATACATACAAAAACACACACATATACAAAATGTCACCTTTTAGGTGCAGGAGGGTGACTTTCCCTGGGGTCCAGTGGTGGCTCAGGTTGATGGGAGTCAGAGTTCCCACTCTGACTCCCTCCTCTGCTTCCTCCCGCGCGGGCTCTGTGTATGCTGGAAGGAGTGACCGGGAAAGTCACTTCCTCCCAGCGTGTGATCTCATCATAGGGGGCCCGGTCGCAGCTGTGACCCCTATATATACGCCACTGGCCATGCAGACCAATTTGATGCAGTGTGCAGTAATATGGTATGAGCACTGACAGGCTGACCCCCCATCCCTTCAACCTCTGCAGCAATGCTGGCAGCACTCATACATCTATTTTCCAAAGACAACCTCTGGATATGACGCTGAGCATATGCACTCAACTTCTTTGGTCGACCATGGTGACCTGTCCTGTGAAATCACCCACTGTGCTACACCTCAGTTTTAGGGTCTTGACAATCTTCTTATAGCCTAGGCCATCTTTATGTAGAACAACAATTCTTTTGCTCAGATCATCGGAGAGTTCTTTGCCATAAGGTGCCATGTTGAACTTCCAGTTACC